GGACATAACTTAGTTTTGTTCCTTTTTTTCCCCATGTGTTGGGAAAAGATATATAAATCATTGAACCCATGTATGCTTGGTTGTCTTGTTGTTGTCTTTATTTAACAAAACTTTTGAAGACATTCTAAAAGTTGTCCACTGAGTTTCCTTAACATTTCTCTCTGGGTTACACAGGATTTCCTTATTTATTCCTGTTTGAAAATTTTAAGATTTATTTGTAATCTATTTGCAGTTTTACAATCTTTCTGGTGTCTTACACTGCAATTAAAATATTTACATAAGTTTGTATTTTAGACTTCGCGTTAGGTAAGACTGTATCCTTTCCAGTGGATTTCTAGTACCTTCAGAAACATCAATTAGTTAGCTCTTCATTCTCAGTGAAAAACAATAATTCTTCAAAAGTGCATCTCCATACATTTTATTTGTAGTCTAGTCCATCTCTTCTTCTCACTTATGTCTTCCTTTGAGTACAAGATATTTCTATTCCTGCTATATTTTCATGCTATAAAACACTAGTTATCCCCCAATGACAGCCTTGACAAGTGTGTCCTGACCAGGAAAAGTACAATTAAAATTCCTTTTCAGAAACAAACAAATAATCACCACTCACTTCTTTTCTTTCATTCTTTTTGTTTCTCTTCCATTTTATCAAAAGAAAGGAAAAAATAGATGTTTTTAGGATAGCAAATATGATTGCATACATTTCCATTACAGATTTAGTTAAGAAAAGTATTCTCTATGAAGAAAACTATAAATATGACTTTATAGATGTCTGTAGGTAAGGTGCCTTAATTATAGATACTATCTCAATCAAAGCAGGAGCCTCTCTACACCAAGTGAAGGAAAATGACCGTGAAATCTCAGTGTGACAGGTATTTTTATCCTGTGATTTCACCAAAAGACTTTAGTCCTTTAGTGAATATCTGTCATAGAATATCCATACCAATAGAAAGATGTCCTTTTCTATTTGTTATATTTTTATCATCTACGAGTACAATTGTATAAGTTTATGAATTTGTCATCTATCGACTTATCATGTATGTGAAGAGGGATACCTATTGTGTCCCCTGCCCCTGCCTGTGGTCAGTCTATGAATCCTCCTTCCTCAGTGTTCATGATTACTTTCTGTCTACTTCACGTGCATTGGTTTTTCTAGGTTTCATTTTTCTCTTTGTCGCTCTTTTCTGAAATCAAGTATAACTTAGGGGCCGTGTGCTACTTTATACCCTGTACTACGTGCCCGACCATACTTGCCCTTGGGGGTTAAGGATGAGGCGGCACAAAATCAATGGCTCTGACTCTGGAAGCATTATTATTTACTCTGTATACTGTAGCTATCCAAGCAGATTTTTTTCAGTGTTAATGGAAAATAGAATAAATGACTGGGTAGAATGTGTATTAAAAAATATTGAGAACCAAGTTAATCGAGAAGAAAGGAAGGATAACATTGGCATACAAAGCTTTGTTGAATTTTTCATTTGAAAACTACCAGATACATAGTTGATACAAAGAATGATGGAACACATACTACTCCTAAGAAAAGAAAAAAAATCAAAATGAAGTTTTATATAAAATCTACATAAAGATAAAACTTAAAATACATCTTTTAGAAATAATATCTTTTGATTTATTTTGTTTAATATAATAAAACTAAATTATACTTCAATTTATTTCTGAAAAAATTTGAGTAATTTGTGAATAATTTTACCCAACAGTATGTTACAAAACTAGAAAATAGTTTTGAATATAAAAACTTGTCAGTATTTGTTCAAAATGATATTAAAATTACCATTAAAACGTTTTATAGTTGCATTAAGTCCTCTCTTCAGTTTATTGTTTCTGAGTAGACTTTATGGTTTGCTTTTATTCTGTTGTTTCTATCATTTACCAAATCAACATGAAGGTCTTATGATATGTCTTATAGTTATTTAATTTAGTATGTTTTATATGTACTTTATATTTTCACATTAACAAAAATTCCAATTAAAAGCTAAAAATAATTGAAGAAAAATCTTTACATCAACCTGAGAAGGAAAACGTGGCAGTGGGGTAATCCTTTAACTAATTAGAAATTACACAAAAAAGGTGCAGTAAAGTCCCCCAGAATTTTAGAGAATTTAGCATAAAATACTTGGAAATTCTCAAATTATGAGATCAGAAAAGATCTCTGAAATCACTTAGGCAACATATTTGAGTATTACCAAAGTAGAATACAGTGATAATTTAAGAACTAAAACGTGGAACAAAATTCTAAACTTAGTAGATAAGATATAAATTGAAAAAGATTTTAAAGTCTGGCAAAGTAAAATGTTGTTTTGAAAGAGGAAACTTCTGTGGGAAATCCATTTGAAACCCAGGGCAGGTCAAGGGATATCGTGCTATTGTGCTAAGCCCATGAGATCATTGTTAGGCTATTCGATAGTATAATTTAACCTATTCTAATAAGATTGAGTAAAGTCTAAGGCCAGCTGTAATCACAGGTTACAAAGGAGAACAAAACACCTCTAGAATGCCTGCACCTGCAGTTTTACCTACAAACCTAATGCATGGGCAGAAAATATTCCAAAAGTGATTAGAGAATAGACTTTGGGTAATTCTCTCTGCTTGAAGTTTAATAAAGAAAAGAAAAACTGACTGACAGGTATATCTGGCCACTTGTGACACCGAGTACCATGCAATTACTGCTTTCACTTCACATTCCAAAAACTGAAGGGAAAATAGCACCGTTCTAGGTTTAAAACCCTACAAAATCTAAACAGAAAGCTTTGTGGATTTTAAGTTTTTCTTCATTGCATAGCCAATGCACATACTAAAATATTTGTAGTTTCTTCATTACATACTTCTACAATGGTCACTCTCAAAACATAGAAAGGTATCACTACCTCAAAGCGTTTTAATTAGGTGTCTGTGATTTAATGATGAAAGATATAAATGTCTCATAATGTATTTAAATGATTATTGAATCTATAAACTAATTTCTGTATTTTCTTACCATACATACAGTAGGTTACATTACTCAAGTTTAAGCATCAGAGCAACAACAGTACTGCTAATTAAAGTAATCATATATTCACCTCTTAGGTTTGAATTAGACATGAAAATTACTGTGGTCAAAGATTGGGAACAATAGGGTATAAGAGACTGTGGGAATGACAGAGGATAAGAAACAAGTTATTGCTTTTCCTAAATATCAATAAGAAAAATTAAAAATATCATCTAGGTATGAGGGATTTACTATCACAATCAAATATACGTAAAATAATGTAGAAATTAAGAAGTCTAGAATTATACACTTAAGCTTTCAAAATAAATATTGATGAAAATGAAAGACTAAAAGAGATTTTTTTCCTACTTAGATAAATGTGTGTGTTATTTTCCTAAGTCACATTTTAAGGGTGAAATTATCCATGAGAAGACTTCATGACTACTGTGAACTTTGAAAGTCTTGACATTTTCCTTAAAAATCTTACGAAACTTATTTAGAGTTGAACATATTAAATTCCATGATAGAATGTAGACAAACTGTAAAATCAGCTTTTCTTAAATTATTCTGTGCAAAAGGTTAAGAAACAAGCCTACATTTTTACATTAACATAAAGGGACAAATAATTTCAGTGTTGGGTAGAATTGTTTTCCATCTCTAGTGTTGAAGTATGGTACTATATTGGGTATATTATGAAGCTGGCAGGCTAGCAACTACTCTGAGGCTCACAGATCATTGCCTGTTCTGCTACAAACAGGTTTTTAGTCTTCCAACATGTCCACCATACATTCGTGCCATCTAGACTGAGGCAGAAAAAGTGATTTTCTTATAGCTCCCTGGACTGTCAGGATAAGTTGATTTGTTCAACACCTTTACTCAAACACATAACAAGAATAGATACATAGTTACTTATATATTTATTTATTTAGAGGATTTTTTACACAAGTAGTGTATTTACATTATTCTCCCCCTCCTTGTCCTAACTCACATTCTTCCTAAGTTCTTCTTACCATTTTTCTTAAATTCATGGCTTCTTACTCTTTAGTTATAATTCTCTCTCTCTCTCTCTCTCTCTCTCTCTCTCTCTCTCTCTCTCTCACACACACACACACACACACACACGCACACACATATACACAAACACATATATGCTTATATATAGATATACATATGCTTAGATGCATATATATAAACATATATGCTTATAAATCCAACATCCTGACATTAACATTGCTCATACTGTGACATATTTCCAGAGCTTCGCAGACCCCCAGACCTTAGCACAACTGACACCATGATGGATGTACTAGTCAGGCCATAAACTCACCACATAGAAGGTACCACCTAGAAAGATGAAAAAAATGACACAATCCATCAAAGTCTACAGTTCTGGTAAACTTTTTAAAAATGTACTTTGCTTTTTGTCTTCTCTAGTTCAGCTCCAGGCCAACTATTCTTAACTGAAGTATGCAAACCCTGGCTATGTTTTCTCGTTTGTTCTTGTTGCTGTTTCCTTTAATTTTATTTTTTTTCTTGTGCTTAAAAATCTCATCCTGGGTAAGGCTTGTGGCTGCACTGGGATCCAGATCATCCAGTGTAGTTAGTTGACATCTAATAATAACTTTCTACTGGCTTAAACCCAGGTCTTGTTAGTCTCTGGTGGACACCACACAACAGTGTATGTTTAGCATTGAATGACAGCCTACACATACTGATACAGGCAGGGTTCATCCCTGGTGAGTTCTCTCTTATACCATTGATTTCTTTGAAGGTCTTCTTTTAGGGATAAGATCTATCTCTTTAGTTGTTTGTTTAAAGGCACAGCTCTCCAGGTATTTAGAACTCATATGATCCTTGTACTAAAGTTTTCAGTTTGTTCTAGAGCAATGTTCAGTTGGTTTCCCCCTCATCTCTATGAGTAAACAGGTGATGAGAAGTTTCATTAAGAGAAGAAGGTCTGAGCACTGTGGAACCAGAGTTGCTGGAAGCTGCGGCTAAGAGGCAGGTGGAGCCAGTGATGGTGGAGAACTTTGACCACCTGAAGGAGCATCAGGAGAAGTTCGTGGAGAACATTCGGTACCTCAGCATCGGCATCAGTGACGTGCAGCCCAGCAGCCAGGCGGGGCTGAGCCAGAAGCTGAACTTTATTGTTATGGGCTTACAGGACATAGATAAATGCACACAGCAGCTGCGTGATATCACCGTGTCTCTGGAAGTTTTTGAATACATTGATCAAGGTCGGTGTGGAACCACTTCCAGAAGGGCCCCACGAGGATCTCTGGCTGGGCTGAGGACAAGGTGCGATCGGCGGCTGTCTGTAGGCAGCCCAAGATGGGTGGTGAGCAGGCGGAGAGAGTTTGCTGCTACCCCAGCCTCCAAACCGTGTCTCAGCGCCTCTGAGGTGGCGAGTGTTACAGCTCTTAGGTTTCCTCTCTCCACAGACAGCACAGGAGTGCCTCAGCAGCAGCGGAGAGGGGGGAGTGTTACAGCTCGTTGTTGCTCTGCCCTAAACCGTGTCTCAAGTGCGCAGGCTAGCCAGAGACTGGGGAGGAACCATGACAAAGCTCTCCGATAGCAGAGAAGATCCCACACACCTTTACTTTTGAGCTTGGCCAATATATACAGTTTTGGGGATGGGAGCAGATACCCCTATTGGTTTGATCTGAGAGCTTGGGAATGCCTCATCTGCATGAAGGTGCTCTTCCTATGTGATCAATGGCCATGGACCTCTCTGTGGGAGGGGCTGTGGAGAGCGGAAGCTAAGAGAGCCAGATGACTTTGGGAAGCTGGAAGCGGCCTCCCGTCCTAATGGCCTTCTTCAGACCAAGGTTTCCGGGGCTTCCAGAGCTTTCTACCAAGCTTTCTGGCCTTTTCCCATAGCCCACTGCCCCACAGGTCGGGACCCCCAGCACTACACCATAGAATGGCTGGAAAGGGCTCTAGCTAAAAAACAAGTCAAGGGGGAGCGCAATACAATGAAGAAATTTAAAAGCCTACTGATTCATGAACTTTCTAAAGTGTTTCCAGAGGATATGGCCAAGTAGTGGAGCATTCGGAGAATCATCCACCTTCCGAAGTGTGATTGGGTCCCACATCCTTTTAATAACCGGACTGACCCAGTGAGAAGCTGTGTCTGCCCATGCTGCCTTCCATACACGAGAACTGGCCTTGCCCCTACTTCCGGTTTCCATCGTTGACCTTTTGGGACTCTGAGGATGGGGGAACAGAGCTGTGACCCAGCTGTCCTTGCAGCTCTCAGACCCTATGGTGACCCGATTCCTTCTATCTCCAGGGGAACAGGCAGGAAGACAGCCTCACTGAAATGTGAAATGTTGATTGGGATTCTAGTTGACATTGTCTTTTTATGTATGATGTTCTGTTACACTAGCCATAAGAGAAAACTTGGTTTTATATTTTACATTTTCAGATGTTGTGCATAAGAACATTACTGTTTTATGGGCTTCAACTAGACATAATAAAGTCTAAAGTTTTTCATGGAAAAAAAGAGAAAAGAGGGTCACTGTGCTTCATGGTTCAGAAAATATAGTCCATCACAACAGGAAAGCCCTGACACAGGAGCTTGCACTCATATGAATGACATAGGAAGCTGAGGAAGATAAACTTGAAGAGGGTCAGACTCTAAACTCGAGGCCTGCAATTCACATCCTCCAATGAGGCCCCATTAAATCAGAGGCTCAGCAACCTTCAAACTGGTGCTAGCAACTGTGGCTCAAGTATTTAAAAACAGGAGTCTGTGGTGGAGCATGACACACTCAAATGCTACCCAATGCAATGCTACGGAAAGAACACAATGTGACTTCTGTGTTTGCTTGTGTGCAGTTGATTCTGCTAGGTGAATTCTGCACAAAACTAAAACAAACAATGGTAAATATGCACCTAAGGTAAGAGGGCATAAAATGGTGTAGGAGTGTGCCAAAAGTGTGCATACACCATTCAAATACTGATTTGTTATCTCTTGCCAACTCCTATCTGTGTGCTCTATGTCTACACTAGATGCTATTTCTTGCTTTCTTACTACAGACTACATTCTTTGTTATTTTTCCTTAAGTCAAGACTGAAATCCCTTGTACGCTAGAGGTGAATATAAGCCTTTCCCAGTATCAACTTTGCATTCTCTGACAGTAGAGTTCATTATATTCAACACATGCTATTTCACGCTGAAGCAGAGCTGGCTATGTTGTCAAGGAAAAGATAAACTTCAAAATTATTACATTGTATGGTGTGCCCTCAATGTTCACAGAACAAAATTCATTATAAACTGTCTGAAGAACTTTGGGAAATGACAGTACTTCTTTTAGAGAAAATTACTTTAGTTATTGTACTTGATAAAATTATTGCCATTACTTTCTATTGTTCATGATATAATATCTGTAGGGTATATTATCATCACAAAAGTACAAAAAGAAACTAAATTAGTAAACTGCTTCTCTCTCTAAATACACTTGAGGAGTTTATTTGGTCCTAAAGAAGAAGAATTCTCTTCCATGAAAATTCCACCAGTTCTAATGTCTGAGTAAATGTCCATATAATACAAAAATGTAGATAAAATCTATTGTAAGTGATGTGTATTGTTCATAGCAATATTTTCCATATTAATCATACAGAGTGTATGGGGATTTTAAATATCCTTACCACAAAAATGGTGACATGTAAGATACAGCATAGTGTTAGCTAGATTTAATCATTCCATTATGTGAATCATCCTCAAACATCGTAGGGTACGTGGTCAATGCATTTGATTTATCTGTTAAACTTGAAAAGAGGGACAAACAAAAATGGAGTATCCAAATTTTTAAGTAATTACAGCCAATCCATCCATATGATGAAATATTTTTCAAAAATATTTGTTTATTTACAACTTAGGTGTATTAAGAATTTCAGCCATTACACAGAGATTTCAAGCCACTCCTCTCTCTCTCTCTTTCCTTCTTTCTTTCTTTCTTTCTTTCTTTCTTTCTTTCTTTCTTTCTTTCTTCTTTTCTTTCTTTCTTTCTTTCTTTCTTTCTTTCTTTCTTTCTGTCCTTTTCTTTTCTTTCAGGATGATTTTTCTTAATATTTATAAAGTAATTGAGAAATGAAGACAGGGTAATCCGATCTCATATAAAAGTAAGATGAATACTTCAAAATCAACGTTTGTACAACTCTGAACACCAGTTATAGGCTTTCAGTTCATTGTAATTCGTGAATGGTAACTGAAGCTCGTCAAGCACCTGGGGATCATATCTTACTCTGCTCCCATTTTTCTCACCATTTGCTTCAAAGCCTTAAAAACCAATGGTCTCATGATCAGCTGTTTTACAAGCCAGTGGAATGGCAGGTACTTGAGAGTACACAGTAGCTTTGAGTCTCTCCCAAAGTTGTAGTTTCGTAGTTCTGTCAGTACTTTATCTGTCTGATAGTTTGCAGAACATCTCCCTTCTCAACTTATATTTATTTGTCTCAGTTCACTACTTGTTATATGCAAGATGTTCTGCATCAAGGTGTTTAAAGAACTCAGTGGTAGTAGTTTACTATAACACCTATCCATAATACCATTACCTGTGGAGATAATTGTGAGCCTGAACAGAACTCCTGTAGAAAGAACAGATGACTAGAATGTTTGTAGAAGCTTCAGACATTGTGGAAAGATGCAAGGCTGTATATATGTTCATTAGATCGCTGAGAACACCTTCATCTCTCAGCTGCAGGTAGCCAGCTTTGAGGTTCTGTGCACTTAGACCCCTGAGGAAGGATGACAAACTGCCTGAAAGCAAACAGTTACCTACACAGACATTCAGCATGGCTGGAGAGTTCGGTGCTGTACATCATTTGAAGAAATTTGTATCCAATTTTCATACCATAAACCTAAGATAACAAAAATATTTTAAGATCTACAAATTTCACATAATTAAACCAAGAAAAAGATCACTAAGAAAGCAAACATCACCAATAATTACAATAATGATAGAATACTAACGAATAGAATCTCTATGCATAGCAATTATGTGACATTGTCTTAAATGCCCAGATTTAGCAGCAAGAGCAACAACAACAACAATTAAAGAAAACTGAATGGACAGGATATAATACCTGTACATGACAAAAAAAATCAGCTAGCTGATACCTACCCCCTTGGATGTACAATCATCTGATTGGTAAAAATTTATATCAGTTTATAAAATATGCAAGGAACCAGGGAAAATGATCTAAAATGTTATAGAAAAGTAACAGAATATTCATCAAGTAAACATTCATAAAATAAAGCAAAACAACAGTGTCTGCTAATTTTAAAGATTTAATATTTCTAGAAATTTAAAGTAAGTTAATCGGGATGAAGGATTTCCTGGAGGAATAAAAGCAGATTTTAAGTTGTAGAAAGCAAAGTGTCTGCAAATTCAGAGTAAGATAAACAGAGATAATGAACTCAGAAACTAATGAACAAAAGGCATTGGAGAAATACGTAACAGAGTATTAAAGAAAATTCTAGAAACATATGCACCAACAAAAGTGAGCAAGCAGAAAGTATTATTTAAAGAAATAATGGCTGGATTTTCAAAAAGTTGATGAAGCCTTCCTCTTCACATCAAAGAACTCCATGCAGGATTTTATTAAAGAGATCTATACCTGGATGTCAATGTTGATGACAAGGACAGAATCTTAAAAGCAGCAAGGAAAAAAGTAAACCATCAAATACAAGATTTCAGCAATAAGAAGTGGAAGAGCTTGCTGACAGAAGCCTGGGATAGCTGTCCCCTGAGAGGCTCTTCCAGAGCCTGACCCATACAACTTCGGACTGAGCACAGAAACTACAGTGGAGAAGTTAGGGAAAGAACTGAAGGAGCTGAAGGGCTTTGCAACCCTATAGGAAGAACAACAATATCAACCGACCAGATCCCCCAAAGCTCCCAGGGACTAAACGACCAACCAAGGAGTACACATCGGGGACCCATGGCTCCAGCTGGATATATAGCAGAGGATGGCCTTATTGGGCATCACTAGGAGGGGAGCCCTTTGGTCCTCTGGAGGCTCAATGACCTTGCGTAGAGTAATGCTAGAATATCACTAGAAGACAGGAGTTGGTGGGCTAACCCTGAGTTGGGGAGCACCTTCATAGGGGGAGGAGGAGGAGGATCGGGTAGGGGAAGGTGGTAGGGGAAACTGAAAAGGGGGATAACATTTAAAATGCAAATAAATAAATAAAATAACCACCATTTTAATAAAAGAAGTAGTCTTTTTTCTTTTTCTTTTTTCTTTTTTCTTTTTTTTTTTTTTTTACTGGGGCCATGGCTTAGACACAAAATTTCAAAGTGCTAACAGGAAAATATTACCGGCCAATAATTCTATATTCAGCAAAAGTAGCTTCAAAAAAGAAAATAAAATACAAAATATTTACCCATCTAAAAAGTTTGAGAGTGTGTTGCTAGCAGCTGGTTAGTCCTTTAAACTGAAGCAAAAGAACACCTGTGAGGAACAAATCAACCAAGCAAAAATTACCCGTGACTGCAATTACATATGTAAATATAAAAGTAATGAGTCTATGTTTGTCATTACTCTTTAAGGAAAACTACATAAAATAATTATAAAATTACATTGTTTGCTTTATAGTGCATAAAATTACAGAGAGGAAGATAAACAGTGACGTGAGAACAATATTTTTATAATTTTTTAAATTAAGTTAATATTCCATTAAGGTAAATGGTTAATTAAAACACCAAGTTAACAGCATAAAATGTAGTGTGCTAAATAATTTTTAAAGTACCCTAGAAAATACCACCTTAGATCTAAAACTGATGGAGGATCAAAGAGAAAGCATATGGGAAAAATAGTAACAGAATAAATACGTGTTAGTTTATTAGTAAATTAACTACATACAATGACAAGAACTGCGAGATTTCATCAAACATAATTTTATATATACTATCTGTAGAATGTACATTTTAGATTAAAAGATATAGATTAAGGAAATGTCATTTTGACAGTACTTACATAATGACTCATGAAACTTTATTAATGTTATAATAGCCTTAAAGATAGAAATTACCAG